AATCCAAGTATGAATTCGAAGCAAAAGATATAAAGCGAATGGAGCTTCTAGTGTTATCAACTCTTCAATGGAAGATGAATCCTGTGACTCCAATTTCTTTTCCTTCGGCCACATTGTGAGAACACTCCGTTTAAAGAGCCACTCGCACTGTGAATTCCTCTTGCGATGCTGCGAACGCGTTTTGCTTTTACTGCTCGCGGTTAAGCTATTCCTATGCAGTTACTCTTCCATGTTTGGCATCAGACAAACATTCCGATGATGGATTTTCTTCATTTTGTTTCAGCATTCGAAGGTTATGAGTCATCTTCCTTCCATAATAGCTGCGGCTACAATGGTCCACGTTATCCGGGACATTGAACCGTTTAATGCTGGGGAATACAGAAAACCAGCTTCTGGGTTTACTCAAAATCAACGAGGTTTCTTTCTATGGTTTTCCATACTAGTAAATTTTGATGAATTACTGGGCAAATTTGATGGTAAACTCTTACAGGAACAAGTGAACCAGTGCTACAAACTTGTTTTGAAAATACTATGGTGTCATGAAGACATCCAAAATCTTCAAAGCAGACGCGAACGCCCATCTGAACCGAGAAGCCCAGATGGTGTCATCGATGCTTTCTTTAACTATGATAGTTCGAATGATTCGTGGGCCGTAGGATCAGTCTCAGTTTCAGAGGAGCCAATGTTGAAGAAGAATCGATCTCAGTCTCAGGAGCAGCCTATGCAATTGGCTTCATAAAATCGCGTCCATTGATTTATTGATGTTATTAATGCCCTTCGATAGTTTACCTACTGGTTAGTATTATTTCAAACATGGCAGCTACTAGCTAGTCTTCTTTTCGTTATCAATCTGGCAATGATCATATCATGGAATGTAACTTTGGTTATCACAGTTTTGTTCTTTGGTTCTATACATTCCTGGCCGAAAAATGAATTAGGCATAGAGTAAAGCATCCACTTCTCCATTTTCTACTTGCGAGTCGGCTTTGTGGATACAAGTTCACACGAAATATTCGGAATAAGTTTACATCATCTTAATTTTGCTGACAGATAAAATGAGAAACGGTGTCTAGTGGGAAACCGTGGTCTGTGAATAGTAACACGAGTATAACAGAAGTGAAGATGTTTCCGAAACCTATTAATGTGAATGTGTGTGAATGTCACTATGGTGGAAATGATCGGCCTAACAAAAGGTTTAAATCTTTTTTGGACTCTCAGCTTTAGAATGATATAGATTTGATCATAACAGTAGAAGAATATATGAAGTCAAAATTAATTTATATAAGCCTATAAGATTATTCTATATCAAACTTAGGAATAGAGATAGAACACAAGAAAGTATACCTAAATTCATCACCATATTTCTAGGATGTGTTTTCTAAATTTATCATTGGTGGGAACTCTGTATGTTTTTAAGAAGGGCATTGGAGAACGTTTTTTTCTAGTTGGCCAAACCAATAATTATAACCTTTATTTATAGAGTTAGTTTGTAATATTTATAATTTGGCTCCTTAACAAATCATAAATATCACCTTAGTTTTTATTCATTTATCCCATTACAACTATACTCCCAAGTCTTACAACTTTATCCTAGACAGACCACTTTATTTAAACTTAATTAAATAATGGCCATAATTTTTAATATATACATGTGTAGCCTCATATGTTGGATTTTATTTCCAACATAGAAAAGTTAATTTGTTTTTCAATTTTAGAAAAATCTTAGAGAACATTCAAAAAAAAATTCAGTACAAATTTCACCCCACCTATGGAGTTGTAGTTATAGTAGGAAATGTTATATATGATTGAAAGGTTTTCTATGAGCACATGTCTAGGAAAGTAAACACTTGCACAAAATAGTTAGCACCCAATATTTTATTCTCAGATCACCAACAATGTATTACTATGGAACCATTTTTTCTACATGTAGAGATATGGGTTCATTTCTTCTTGTTCCTTTTTTTCTAATGTAGAATTTTTCCTCCATTTGTAATTAAAAAAAAAAAGGTATGAACATGAAAACATTTTCTTTGTGCTGGGAGTTTAAAGCTAAAACTTTGGAGCCATATTGGAGTTAGCATAGATTAACTCACGCAATGTTTTATCCTCAGATCACCAATATTCAACAACGTATTACTCTCTTCTTCGTTTTTATATATAAGATATTTTTAATTAAATTACGTAAATTAATAAAAGTAAATTGATGAAAGTACTTATCTTTTCTTTAATTTAATAAAAATATAATGATCTATTTATAAAAAAATATGTTAATAACATTTTATATTTAAAGACAATTTTTTTAAAAAAAAAATCTCTTATATATGGAGGCCGGGAGTGTTATGAAACCATCTCTCAAATGTTTAGCTATCATGAGCTATGAGTACGACCTAGATACTGTCGTAGGAATATGGGTTGATTTTTTCTTATTCCTTTTTTTTTTTCTACACGCAGACTTTTGCCTCCATTTGTAATGAAAAAAAAAAAGGTGTGTGAATAATTGAATATGAAGGCATTTTCTTTGTGCTGGGAATTTAAAACTCTGGAGCCAATTGGAGTAAGTTGAAGAGATTCGGTACATGTCGGAACTGCATAATGGGCTTTGATGGTTTGAGTGCACGGCGTAAGCGAGATATTTTCCACGTGACAGCTATGGTGCTGCCAGACAATAATTCTGGGCTTATGACGAGCCTGCTTCTGAGAGTCAAATTTGGTCGTTATGTTGCTTCAGTGTTCTGAAAAACGTGGATGTGCTAAGAACAGTTACACTTGTCTTCATCATTTCCTTCGTCAGAATTGTTGGCCTCACATGTTCAGCAAACCACATACTTAAATGGGAATGGGATTGAACACAAGACTGGGCATTCAACCTCAAGATCCGATACAATGGAAGTGAACTTGGTGAAGTGGACTGAGTCAACACGTGAGAACCAAAAGAAAATTAGAAAGATTATTCTATTAGAAGATTCCTAGATAATTAGGGAAATGAATCTGTCATACAAGCACAATGCACACGATGGTTACTAAACTGCTATTGGTCAATCATAAATACAAATTTCTACAAGAGCAGTGTGAGAACAAAAGGCACAGGGTTTAGTGACCGTAATAATAGGCGCACGACGAAGAAGACGACGGAGAAAAGGAACTCGTGATTTTATCAAGAGCATACAACACTTCTTTCATTGACGGCCTTTTCTGAGGGACGCTGGTCACACAACTATACCCTAGCTTGAAGTAAGCCAACAAGGCGCCTCTTTACCCTCCACGTCAGCACGGATTGCCACATCAGCCATCCTCAAGGCCCTGTTCTTATCCTCCGCCAAAAGCCCAGTGCCTTGGCCCGTCTCATCAGTAACCACAGTCTTTCCCGTCAGTAGCTCCAGAAATATGACCCCAAACGTGTAGACATCCCACTTGGGTGTGGCTTCAGGTTCCTGAATGACTCAGGTGCATGGTAAGGGGAGACACCGCTTAATGAGCTTGGGCTTGGGCTTGGGCTTGGCCCAACGTTAATATCCTGGAAGCTATCCCGTGACGCACTGGATCTCTTGCTCCCGAAAATACGGGCCGAGCCTCCAGCTTTGTAACTGGTATCTCCTGTTAGATTTTCTCAAGACCAAAGTCTCCAATCTTGGGCTCCATATCACTGCCCAGAGAATGTTGCTGGGCTTCAGATTTCCATGCACGTGCTTTTTGTCGTGGAGGTAAGCCAGCCCACGTGCTACCCCTCTAGCAATCTTCAGCCTTATTTCCCATGGCACATGGCAAGGCGCGGAGCCTACTTTCCCTGACATGCAAAGCACATCTACTTCAAAATTGTGTTCCAGAATTAAACACCTTCCAATTTCCAAGTACATTGATAAGAAAAAAATAATCCCAGAAAAAATTTATTTTTTACATAAGGATTTATAGGAATTTTTGAAATTTTAACTTAAAATTATATTTACATGATACATATTTTAGTTTCCAATTTAGCAAAATCCATTTGTCAACAATCCGTCTATGTTTGAATATATTTTTTAAAATACTTGGCTTGAAACATAAAATTTTGTTGGATAATATAAAAATCAATTAAGAATAGCTTCAATTCATGTTTCAAAAAATTAAAAGCTGGGTTTCCTAAACAGACTTTCAATTAGACTTTAAATAGACTTTCACATTAGCACAATAAATATCCAAAGAATATCTATTCCTTTGGTCTTAAGAAAAAGAGCGTCCTTATTTTGATCCTGTTTATAAAATACTTTTTTAATTTTTATATAAATTTTTTATCCTTTTTCCTTCATTAAATGTCAGATTATTTTATTTTAATGGACACATTTAATGAGAATAAAATTTAAAACTTATTAAATTTTTAAACAAAATTAAAAAATCAAGTTTTTCTTGATTTGATAAAACAGGTTAAAAATGACTTAATAAATAAAATCACGATTGCATGGGATAGCATGTGAAAAATACTTTTCAAATTAGAAAAAGCTGTATCCAAAATATAACCTTAGAGGACCGTGAGACGGTGGGGTGACAAGAGGCAGAAGGAAAGGGTGAAGTTTTCTTTCAGTTGGAAAGGCAAGCGACATAAGAAAGAAAACAAAGGGCGTAAATAA